GTTGCGATCCCGTTGCCGGTCCCGGTCCGGTGCGGGCGCGACACTGAGGGTTGCGGTCCGTTGCCGGACACGAAAAAAGACAAAAAAAAGGAAAAAAAAAAAAAACAACAAAGTTTTCCTTTGGTCCTGATTTTATTCTTCTTTCAGTCCCTTATAGGAACAAAGAGTTCCCACCTCCTTCTGCATGGCTAATAAATGATTTCAGAGTTTTAGAAGGTGGTATTCCTTGGCCACCTACTCCTTTCAGGTACCTGCACCCCACCATTTAAATATTCCCCAAAATTTCTTATGTGGCTGAATATGCAGTATAACAACATGTTTCTATGTTTGCTTTAGGTGATGTCAGACAAGACAACAAAAGTGTTAGTTCATGAGTCATTGTAATCTTATCTATGGGACTGCTTTTAGAAACTGATAAGTAATTAACCCAGTATTCAGAATTATTACCTTGTTTCTATACTGACCTTTGCTTTCCTTCCCAATGAAAGATTAGTCGTATTGTAGCAGCATGACCCCAACTTTCCCCTGAGAGAAAAGAACATAATAACTGTACACTGCTTTACTGACTAGGTTTCTCAGAATGCCTCTGACCAAATACAGTCTTACTTAGTTTAACACAAGAGTATACTTGGTTTCAAAACAACTGGGACTTGAGTAACTTCCTGAGATTAATAGATTTTTACCTATCTAGGCAAATACTGCAAATCACTATTTTTTACTTCCTTTTAGAAATCTTTATAGTTTGAGTCAGTATATCTGTCAACCTTCCATATCATTAGGTCTACTAACATATTTCCAGTGGGCTGGCCAGTTTTCTCAGTGGTTAGAGTATGGTGCTGATAACACCAAGGTCCAGGGTTCAATCCCTGTACTGGTTGGCTGCCAAAAAAACAAAAACAAAACATATTTCTGACTCCCAAAAGAAAAGTAAAAATTGTGACAAAGTATTCTTAAAGATTTTAGTGGAAATCAATCTTGAAGTATTGTGTTCTAACAAAACCATGACTAAGATTAGGAACAAAGTCTTAAGTCTATTCACTGTAGTGTGATTTGTATTTAAATGGATTTGTCATTCCTCCTGCCTAAGTCTATAAGCCTTCTGAGGGCAAGAATCTTCTTATGAATATTTATATCCCTGGTATCTGACAGAACAGTTGCCAGATAGTAAACACTCAATTAATGTTGGTTAGATAACTGAAAGGATCAGTCAATATCTTGGGGCACTATTCTTGTGCTAAGATTTATCAGTGAACAAGACACATATAATAGCTGCTTTCATAGAACCTAAAGTATTCAACAAGTAGCAAATGAAGGAGATAGAAAAAATGGGTTTAATTAAAGTGTTTATCTGATTAATTACCCACCTAATGCAGGAACCAACAAGGCCTGATTTCTATCAATCTTTGTTGTCATCTGATTGGTTAAAATTACCTATAGAAACAAAATGAGAGAAAATTAGGTAAGTCTCTTCCCCAAATTATCAAGTAAATAGTCCTGTGATTTTAGTATTATGAACATACTCTAACTGTTAAAGAAAGCCATATTTAACTAATGAAAATTTTTCTGATAGAATTTTTAAAAATTTACCCATAAAAATGGATACTTATCCGAAAACCTGAATAGAGAAGTTCTTATTGTAAAAATGGAAGAATAAGATATACCAAATAATACATGAAGGTCTAAAGAGTAAAAACCTCATAACTGGGAGCACCGGAAAAATTTTGCTTTTAAAATTCAAGTTTTATATGAGCCAACACAAACCAGAACAATAGCAGCAATATCAGTAGTGGTAATGAGCATTTATTGTGTACTTTATACATGCCAGAAACTATATTAAGTGCTTTACCTTCATTATTTTATCTCCACAACTACTCTATGAATGAGATGCTATTATTATTGCAATTTTACACATGAGAAATCAGAGGCTTAGAAAGATTGAGTCTTTGTTCTTCACCACTAGAATATCGAAATACAAAAGAATACAAAATACTTAATAAATACCTTACTGTTCACATTTTTAGGGAAGAGACAAATACAGTATTACCATTAATGATTTTACAGGAAAAAAAAGAAACTGAGGCAAATAATTATGAAGAGATCTAAAATCTTAAAGAAAATACAATGTAGAAGAACTAGGAAAAAAATAAAAGCCAGGTCAAATGACTCCCAATTATGACTATGCTAGTCTGCCAGTAATAGCCACATGTGTTGCTTTACTCATAGATGATCCTCAAGGCTAAAAATATTCCTAAATCTCTTGTGTTAAATAGCAGCCTACAACAAAGATTCCATGTTTGGAAAGATAGTAATTTTAAAGTAAGAAAAACAAAAGTGTTTAAGGCAGACTTAATACAGTGCAAGTCAGATTATCTGGCACTTTTTCACCCAAAAATCTCCAGAAACAGTCATTTTAAATATTCTTCCTATACAGATTTTCCCTCCAGAAAGAAGATGGTTACTATTACAAGATGAAATTGATAAAGAACTTCTATGAGAAGCAATAACAAAAGGTACCTCCCTCTGAAAAAATCAGTAGTTCCATAAGGAAATTGAGGGGGGGAAAAAAACAGGTTGGCTGTTCCCCTTACAATGGTAACACCCTAAAATGTTTGTTTAGTCACAAAGAAGTAATCTGTGATCTGTATAGATCTCAATTAGATACCAACTGGACAACATGACTTTCTTTTTTTGGGTGGCTAGCCAATGGATTGATTGAACCCTGGACCTTGGTGCTATCAGCACCACACTCTTACCAACTGAACTAACTGGCTTGCCCATGACTTTCCTCTAGTTTTCCCTTTATATGCCACAGTGCCTTCCCATTTGTTACCATACATAGGCATCTCAGAACAAGCTCAGCAGAAATTTAAATTGGTAATTACCTGAAATATATGACTAACTGGCATCTACAGCATGGTGAGTAATACTCTTTACTGTACATACTTGTCACCTCTGGCAAAGTGATGGAGATACAAAAGATTACTCAGAGCCCATGTATTCAGAGCAATGAGAAGCCCAAAGGAATTGCACCAAGGGAAAACTCCTTCAAGAGAGGAGAGCCCAGGCACAGCCTCCAGTCAGTTTTTGCTTCAGTTTTTATTGTAAGGATAAGAAAGTTACAGAAGAAAAACAGATGGCTAATCAACCATAGTGAAAATGTAAACAAACTGGCTACATGACAATCTTCATTAAATGTGTAACTTAAAATAGTTCAAGCAATTTACCACCAAAAGGAGTCATAAAACTAAGCTATGTGAGGTACAAAAAGAAACAATGAAGTAATCCCCAAAGCCCCTAACTCCCTAAGAAACTCAAAGAAAGAAACAGCTTAGGGCGAGATGTGGAACCTCGCCCAAGCACTAACTAGAGGAATATCCTTGAAGATTTTAGCTTACATACTTCCCCACTATTTAGGTTTAGCTGAACTAAGGGCAACTGCCCCCAGAGCAATCACTTTTCGCTGTGCTTCAATTCTCTCATCTATATCAAAGGCTTTAATCCTGTGAAAGTTTTCTGGTCTTTCTTAATCTTAGCATTCCTACATGTTTTCCTAAGGGGTTGAGGCTTTGGCCCCCTAAACTAAGAACTTTGGTCCTCTAAACTACAGGCTTTGGCCTTCTACGCTAAGGACTTTGGTCCTGTGAAATACATGTGTTTTATTTCTATCTCATTAATAACTTCTTAGCAGTATGTGATAAAGGTCGAGCAACTGGGATATTTACTTATGCCTACAGTTTTTGTTCAGAGATGTGCTGTCCAAATCCATAGCCTTCAGCCACATGTAACTTTTTAAAGTTAAATTACACTAGAAATTCAGTTCCTGAGTAACATTATCCATATTCCAAGTGCTCAGTAGCCATGCAGCTACTGTACTAGACTGCACATTTCCATCTTTCCAGAAGTTCTACTGGACAGTGCTGGTTTAGAGAGAGTAACTAGTATATCCATTACATATCTTTAGGAAAATATAAGTAGAAATACTGTCTTAGCAGCCGTTCGATATCCCAAAATTAGATTTTATATTATCAGCAAATATTGATAATGTAATTATAGTACTTCTGCAAAAATGCTGGGCTTACCAAGACACAGATGAAAATTACTCCAAGCTTCTAAAGAATGTCTTTAAAATAAAGTAACAATCATTTTGAAATTACAAACTTCAGTGCTTTAAAAATACTTCTGCTACCCAAATGTCCTGCAACTAATCAACAGACAGACAAAATGTGGTATAAAATGCAAAGTTATTTGGCCATAAAAATCCTACTGAAACATGCTACAACATGGATGAATCTGGAAAACATTAATACTAAGTGAAAGAAGCCAGACATAAAAAGCTACATATTTTATGATTCTATTTATATAAAATGTCTGGAAAAGATAAATTCACAGAGACAGAAAGCAGATTAGTGGTTGTTAGGGACTGGGGAAAGACAAAATGAGAACTGAAGGCTAATCAGAAGAGTCTTTCTTTTTATTTTGGAACTATGCTTGTCAGAATTACTTTCTCTGTACAGCAAAAAGTTAAGGTTGGCCACAAGAGAAATTTGCATGAGATTTGAAAGGCAAAAGTGAGGGAACAGACATTTTAAACACTCAGAAGGTCACTGTGGGGCAGGGGTTTCTTTGTGGGAGTAATGTAAATGTTATAAAATTAGATAGTGGTGATGGTTGCACAACTCTGTGAATATACCAAAAATAATTAAATTGCATATTTTAAAAGGATGAATTTATGGCATGTAAATTACATGATATTAAAGCTGTGTAAAGGGCTGACCCTGTGGCTCACTTGGGAGAGTGTGGCGCTGGGAGCGCCAAGGCCACGGGTTCGGATCCTATAAAGGGCTGGCTAGTGCGCTCACTGGCTGAGCACGGTGTGGGCGACACCAAGCCAACGGTTACAATCCCCTTACCGGTCACACACACACACACAAAAAAAAGCTGTGTAAAAAAACATTTCTGCTAATAATCAAAGAAATGCATTTGTTAAAGGACTTTCTCCATATCACTTTGGCAAAGATTTAAAAGACTGGTCACACCCAAAATTGGCAAAGATGTGGTAAAGCAAGATTCACTGTTGGAACATACTTTCTGAGGGTGATTTGATAATACATAACAAAATGTTTAAAAATAGATTCTCTTCGCTTAATACCTTCACTTTAAGAAATTTATGCTAAATAAGTAACGGAACAAATGGACGAAGATGCAAATATAAAATTGCTGATTGCAGTGTTTTAAGTGACAAAAAATTGGAGCCAAATTTAAAGACTATCAATAGGGAGGTGGTTAAAAATTACCATATACTACAATCACACAATGGAATACAATATAGCTGTTAACGTAAGGTAGACTTATAGTGTAAATGGGAAGATGTCCACAATACATTAAGTGAAAAACAAAAAATTGCACGGCAGCATACATAATATAATCTCATGTTCTAAAAAAATGTTTGTATATATATAGAATAAAGTCTGGAAATCAACAATAATCACTTACTTTCTACATTTTTGATTATTTAGAATTTTTTTTAACAATGAGTACATATAACTTAAAATTGTAAAATATATTTATTATCAAAAATCATATGTACTGCTTATACATGCTAACTGGGAAAAAAAATCAAGCAAAGAAGAATTTATAAAGTAAGAGGGGAGGGCCGGCCCGGTGGCGCACTGGAGAGTGTGCCGCTTGGGAGTGCAGCGGCGCTCCCGCCGAGGGTTCGGATCCCATGTGGAGACCGGTTCCCACTCACTGGCTGAGCGTGGTGCGGGCGCAACAGCGAGGTTTGTGATCCCGTTG